AAAGGCAACACAATATAAATAACCACTGTCTATTAATTCAAAATCACGAACCTTTTCAACAACAATCAATCCGCACCGACAAATTCAGACCTCTGGAAGAAACAAAACACGCCAAATTCAGCGATATTTCACATAACAAAAAACAATGAAGGTCTGTCCTCCCTTTTTTTCCTGTTTAGATAAAAAAAGATCTCAAGTACTCCAATCATTGGATAAAAGGAAATTGATACACAAATCCGCCATTAAACAACACGAGTGTGAAAGAGACAGGTTACCATAACACAAGCTATCTTTGTTGCAGCTGCCCCTGACACACTCTGTGCTATTCGAGAAAACGGCAGTCTTCCTTCTAGTTGTTTACTTTGAGTTCAATGGTATCAGTCGTTTACACATTTGACAGATGACTGACTCTGCAAGTAAAACTATCTCACTTTTTTTTTACACAGGATTGAATCGTTTTTCACAATTATTTTGGCATACGAATCGTGTTTTTTGAGCTATTTATGATTTCAAGCATGCCATCACATTGTGCTGTTGTACAATGCACCAAAAATGCGGCGGCGAGAGACGAAGGAATAATATTTTTCAGGTAGGTGAATTCTGATCTAAAAGTACTGTATGTAGTAACTCACAGTTTTCATTTTGAAATTTTGTATTTTTTCCTCAAAATTCATTCTGCAATAGGAGGTAATACAAATACATGTGAAGTTTCTAAAAGAAGGCAAGAAGCTTGGATTCGTGCTATCAAACGGGAGTACTGGTCTGACATGTTGACGAAATATGGTCGTGTATGCTTTAGACATTTTACTCTATTAGCTTCTGTTGCAGAAGAGGAAGAAGTTATTCTAAAAAGAAATTACTGTACTTTTATTAATAACATGAATTTCAAAATCGAACGAATAGTTGACAACTGAGTTGAAGCAGAAAATGTACCGTCATTCTGTTCTTGCGCTCTGTTCTGTTATTCTACTTTTGCCAGTTATGATATTTAATTCCTCTATGTTGTTTTGTCTCGACGATTTCTATAAACGGTAAATTATCTATTCTCAACTGACACTAGGGATATGCTTTCAATCAAGCACGACAGAATATCACTAGTGTCAATGTTCAATTGACAAATCGCTAAAAATGAGTTTCAAAATATACCTGGTGATCAAATTTCAATGGCTAGTGCTTGATAAATCTATAACTTGACGAAATGTGATGACATTTCAATGAATTCGATAATTTTCTGAAATGGATCATGGTCATAGAACCATGGGGCGCTGGAAATTTTTTACCGAAAATCTTAATAGGATTTTGATACTCTAAATGATATTTTACTCTTTGGTAAGGAAGAATATTATTACCTCGGGACCTTTTATAATTTTGGTTCCTGAGTAATAATGATATTCTTTGCGTTCATGGTTTATAAATGACTATCATCAAGTACTATCGATTCCTCGAGCATCAATCGTTGAAGCTTGATCCATCCTATACAGGCAGTTACTGGTACGGTTGAAACGTTATCTGTGTCGACCTTATATTCCAGGAAAGTTGAGGATTTCACCTCGGAATTCGGTAAAAGTGGTTCGATTTCGATGGGGCATCGCATCTACATTCTCATTTAATGCACTAATCGATCGTCATTATTTTCGTAATTGGGTGTGGAGGTGGTCCAGAAGCACAAAGGGTCTTACCGATTTTCATTTGTTCATTGATTTTCAATTGATTACTACAGACAAATTAGGCATGCCATCTGTAACCTGGACTAGGATAGACTGATTTCCATTGGGTAAACGACATTCTGCTCCTAATTAATTGGAGGTGTTTTTATGAATGTTAACCATCTAGATTTTGTTATTTTGAGCTTTTTACTCATAACGAGTGGTGGTATGGTAGAACGTGTAAACGAATGCCACCTTTTGTGTAGTATATTTATATTATATTTATATGATGTAAGATATTTACACAATAAATGTTTTTCTATTCTATTCTATTCTAGTTCAAAGCCAGTAAGGGTTAATGATCATTTGTTTATTTTTTCTCAATCAATCATTATGAACAAATTAGACGTGTTATCTGTGACTGCAACTCATAATGGATGATTTTTATAAAATAAACTGTATTTTTCATCAACTTCATTATTTTTCAAAGACTAAAGAGGGGTGAATAACATTCATTTATAATAATTTGCGATGTATAGGATCTCCAGTTGCTGTTCGCGAATTCACTCTCCTGTACAAGAGTTTCAATATCTTCACTTTACAGTGCAAATAGTTTATAATAATAATTGAAATCAGTTACTGCTACTACTGGTCTTGAACTACCAATATACAACATCGTTTACCATGTCAAAATTGGCTGGTCCTAGTCCCGACCACTGACTCATTACTCTATCTAGACAGTAGTCATATCGCAGCAACCCGAGAATGTAGGGTCAGTTGCTCGCCTGAAAACGCTTCTGCTCAATACGCAGGAACCCCCAAGCTGTCGTTCATGTCTTGACGTGGTATCGAAATCAACCTAGCATCTATTTTGTTCATAGGCGAGACAAGGTGGATGGCATCGACTTGAATGTTTTGTTCATGTCATCAGGGGTCGGCTTAATAAAAATAGTATCAAAATTGAGTGGTGATATTAATGTTTTCGTTTCATTTTCGCCAATCCTAGGAAATATAAAGTGCTTTGTTCTTTGGTGTAAGAATCCCACGATTTATAATACTAAAGATGTTTCTTTTCATCGGTGAGTTTGTGGGAAATGAATAATTCATTATTTTAATCTGCTTTCATTAGTTGATCAAGTATTTGAATCAAATGGAATCATGCATGTTTTGTATATTCTTTCAGCTGTGAAGAATTTAAGTTCAGGCGTGAGGTGCAATACCTGCAAGTTTATTCATTCAATAATGATTCTAGCAGTGCTAAGAATAAGAGAAATGAATGGTTTGAGGCTATTAGGAGACCATTATTGGACCTTAGCCACTCAGGAAGAATAATTATGTTCGGACCATTTTACGCCAGACAGCTTTCTGATGCTTCCAGGCAAATCCAGGACATTGAAACTACATGAAAATTTGCCGTTTTTCAAAATTATGTTCTCAAATCTGAGAATTTGAAAGCTATGAGACCTGAATACGGCATATTTCATTCGTTTCTCATTATTTTATGTATGGTTTATATCAACCTTCCATAGTAGAACTCTCCCAACCTTTTTCCTTCGATACGCCTATGTTTCTCGGATTCATGAGTGAAACAAGACAGTTCCTAGATGCGCATGACTCAGTTTCACCAGTTCGATCTCCCGAGTGGCTCACCTTTTTCCTTATAGAACTGGCGGTCTAGATTAGTCTATAACAACAAGTGGAAATCAATGTACAAATGAAGATGTTCTGAAGTCCTGTGGAGTCGAAGTACAACAAACTAATGAGAAGACCGCTTTATAATGATCGTTTATGGATAAATAAACAAATTAGCGGCGCATGAGACGATGTAGACTTTGATATAGTGTGTCCAGTTTTCGATGATTTTGCGTGGTATTGTTATTTTTCGAGATATAACCTTGCAGTTTTCGTGGTCCTGTGCCACTTTTTTGTGAAACTGAAGATGTCCTAATCAGATTTTGCATAACTGTGCCCGTCTATGAGATGCAGGGCGATTTTGAAAATTTATACTTTTTGAACCCCCTCTATATCTACGAAGTTTCTCAGCTAAAATGTCAAATGAAATCTTATCCAATAGAGAATTTTACGCAGAATCCAGTAGCGCACTTTTTTTTCTGGGTTGGCTTTGGAGATACGACTCAAACTCATGATTTTTTAAATGGAATGCCCTGTATTTTATAAACTCATGAAATTCCTTATTTTCTTCCCTTCAAAATGATACATAATAAATAAATATAAAATTTTCAAAATCGCACCAAAATCACTGAAACATTGAATTTGAGTATTGGTTATGGATTTTTCATATGAAATAAGTTCCAATTGAATGAATATTTCTTTATATTTTTCCATGAAGAGGACAAAAACAATACCAACAACAAAAAACGTAGGTACCTGATAGCAACAAATAAATAGTAATAGAGTTCATAATGTAGAATAAGCATCTTTACTAAAACAATTGAATTTTGAAATCATTCAGTAACTTATTCATTGAATTGTTGAAATTGATATTTATTTTCCCTAACACACAATTGACACAGTTTCTCAATACGTCTTAATACAGTAAGAGGCACAACAATCTTGAAGAACTTCGTGCATCAACAGGGGTAGTTTTCCAGGAATTGCAAAGACATCGTTTGAAGATTTTGAAAAATATTCCTTCAAATGGAACTATTTTATACGAAAAATCCATAGTCCACTATTAAAATTCAATGTTTTAGTGATTTTGGCAATGTTTGTGTTTATACATCATAAATAGTATCATTTTGAAGGTGAAAAAATAAGTAATATGATGAGCTCACGAAATACAGGGTGTTCCATTTGAAATATCATAAGTTTGTGTCGGCGTCGAATTCTCTATGGGATAAAAATATGTATTTGCACATAACATCATTCTGAACATTTAACAGAAAACAATTACTTTCCTGGCTATTTGCCACTTCAAACATTGAATTATATATGTTGAGCATCCAAAAAGAGAGCATGAAACATTAAAATCCTTTGAAATCGAGAATTGACAATCTCTCAAATCTGATAAATGATATGATGTATTATGATATAAAAATATAACACCATTTTTGCTGAGAAATTTTCAAAATCTGATTAAACCATCTTGAGTTTCACAAAAAATTGGCACAGGACCGCGAAAACAGCTAGGTTCTATCTTTAACAATAACTGTCATATCACGCAAAAGCATCGAAAACTGGACACACTGTACAAATGTAAATGTAAAAGAACGCACTTTATCCCATCAAATCGAATTCCGAAGTTTGGTCCTTTTCTTATTTAATTTTCATGGACGCGTATCTCAAAGTCACCCCCAACAAAAATATAAAAGCACACACACCCATACCCACGAGTCGCCGCGCACAACTTTCGATTGTTGCAGAAGCGCAGACGTAACGCTTTCCTCGTTTCCGCCTCGCCGCCGCACACGCGCCAATCGGCCAAGAGGCGGCAGGGGCGCGCCACGCCTCCCCCGCCCGCTGCACGCACGCCACCCCCCACACAAAGGGCAGACCAACAAGTGGGCGGAGCGACCCAACAGGCGGGCGGCGCTGACCAACAGGTGGGCGGGGCGGACCAACATGTTGACGAGGCGGATCAACAGGTGGGCGGGGCGAACCAGCCCGTCCTCGAGGCGTTCCCGGCCATTCCGCAGCTGCCGAGCGGGTTGATCATCGAGCGAGTGGGACAGGGGGGAGGGTCACCGGACGCGAAGTCTTGCATCACGTGTAAGCAGCCGGGTGAGTACGATGGTGAGGAGAGTTTTTGATTGCCGACCGGTTGTGATCGGTTGCGACCGCCTACTTTGTAAAAATAGCGAGGTGTGGGAGAATCTTGCTCAATTTTCGAAGTTTCAAACCAAATTTTACAGGCATCATTGTTTATTGTTCATTGAGAAACTAGCTTCCAGTCAGAAATGGAATTCTGGAATGAGGAAGTTGATTATTTAAATTTTGAAATGTGTCTGCATGACACATTCATTTGAGTTCACATTTTAATTTTCACAACTTTTTGTGTAAATGGAAACGGTGCGTTATATTTTCGACTTTCAGTTGTGAATTCATGAACGACAGAAAGTTCTAACTCAAGAAAATTCTGTGATAATATTTTATTTACTCACTTTTGGTACATAAAATAAACGAATGTTTGGATTTTCAAATAATTCTCACACATCACAGCATGGTCCAGTCCATGATGAAAGCACAATACACTCACCCTACTAAAGGGCTTTCACGCTGGGTTGATAGTGACGTCAATATGTCAACACATACAGTGTTGCCAGTTGAAAGGAAATGACTGAATGACCAACCGCCCGAATATGGATATGTCTAGTGTTACGATCGTCGGACGTTATAATGTTTTTTGGAATCAACTCAAAAGCCGTCCATTTATGTTTCAAAATCAGCAATTGAAGTTGATGAATGAACTTCAATAGTTGTATTTAATGAAGCATGAATACCTAAACAATATACTGAATATGAAATTTGATGATAATGAAATTCTTATAAAGAATAATAACTTCAAGAATGATTTATAATATAACAACCTCAACAAACAATCACAGATATTGACATTAAAAATAACTTATTTTTCTACCAATACACAATTATGTCTTGAATTCTTTTTTTTTTAATAAAACTGATCAGTATTCACATTTACTGAGTGAAAATAATAAAAACTTCGAATTCAATTTTGAGGTTATACCTATAATCGTTTTGAATGTTTTTCAATTGCTATAAATTGGTGAAATGAAATAGAAATTCGATCAATCGATTTCATTTTGGGAAAATAAATAGTGGAGCATCTACTTATGTTGGAAATTATGAAATAGACAACAAGAGTTATTCTTACTTCAATATTCTCAATATAATTCATGAGGAAAACCCACACAAACTCATGAAACCACTATGTCATTACAATTAACTAACACTATATAATACAATTTTCTAACCCTAATCTACAGATATAATCTTACACTAAATAATACAATTTTCCAACCCCAATATATAGCACACTAAAAAATTTCAAATGCCATTCAATCTTCTTCACTGTCATCAAAATCATTCTCTCTATCATCAGAATCATCCTCTCCTACATTCACCATCATTAAGGTCTAAAATGGGTTTTTCTCTTTGTTTGTTCTTTTTGGGGCCAGCCAAATCATAACCATGTTTCTGTTCTTCATACAGTAGCGATACTTATTTTTAATGCAGCAGCTACTCTCTGTAATTCAGACAAATCATATTTGGATCATTCGGACAACACAAAATATCATTATAAATACCATCATTCAACTTACATCTCTCACAGCAGTCATTGAAAGTAATGGGCCATCGTTATCACGTTCATTTTCGAAATATTGTATCAATGATACCACCATCTTCTGCGCCTCTGCACTCAATGGTTTAGGCATTTCGAATAAATCGAATTTCACGTATGATCCACAAACAAATCACAAACAATTCCTTGAAAGTACAAATTGTCAGTAATTAGGGTCCCTTGATGGAAATTGACGTTAAAGTCATGTTAAGATGGAGAAAGTATTGTATGATATTATTCTTGAATAACTACCTGATCGATAACGCAGACATACTTCCCAAAGGAGTCCTGTCCATGTGCGAGATTTGCATGAATGGCTTCCACATCGGCTGCCACAATCATCCTCTCACCCACACGCCTCGCCAGTGCCCCAAGTGTATGAGTATTGAATTTTCAGAGTTAACTTAGGTCATAGGTAAGTCGGGATTGGCGCAGTGGAAGAGCGTCCGTCTCACGACCGCAAGGTCGTGGGTTCGATTCCCAGCACGGGCAAGGAACTTTTTCAATATTTTATTTACGAATTAAATATTGTAAAGTTTCGGAGCATCGGCTGGGGATAGTCCTGCACGATTCGCTGTTGCGTTCCAATTAACAGTGCTGCTCCTAAAGTGGCGCATGGAGTTAGTAACAAAGCCTACACAGAACACGCAGAAAGATATGATGATGTGGTTGTGAGCATCAGAGAAGAAGTAGGACGGTGTATGTAGGTGGGTGTGGAAAACTACCAGCTGAGCGTGAGAGCGGGCCAGCTGCTTAAGTAGACCTCGGTCTCGGGGGTTAACGAGGATAGTTAGCAGGCCTGCCACTGCGCATATGGTAGTGAGTACATTACTAGCCTACAAAACACAGCTGGAAAACTCTGAAAAGAGAGCTGATGGGCGGTGCCTGAAAAGGATGTTAGCCAGCTCTCTTGAGCGAACCACATCAGTCATTGAAAACACTTGGGGTTTGCAAAAAGGTCCCATTGGGGACTAGTTGCTGACGTGGAAACGTCCCCCACCAGTACCAGTACCAGTAGGTCATAGGTCATAGAACAATTAGTGACATAACTATTTATATATGGTTCCAAGTCATTTTAATGTCCATCATTCTCATTACTAATGATTTTAACTACTTGATCGATAACGCTGACATACTTCTCAAGGAGCCCTGTCCGTATGCGAGATTTGCATGAACGGCTTCCACATCGGCTGCCACAATCGTCCGCTCACCCACACGCCTCGCCAGTGCCCCAAGTGCATGAGCAAAGAGACGAGGACGGTGGGCGCCCTGACTGTGCCTTCGGGCATGAGCGTGTCATACGTGTCACCGCCTCCTGAAGTGACAGGTGAGCATCAGAAGTGTAGCGTCCGGTTGTCTTGTGTTGGATCATGGCCCCGATACATTATTTTGTCCACAATCATCTTGAAGTTTTATCCACGCTCATGAGCCATTTGAAGTACCACTAGTGGAATAATGAAATTACTGTATTCTGCTAGTGGAATAATGAAAAATACAAAATATAATCAAATTTTTGTATCGACGCCGTTACTTGATGGAAATTCATAGTAACTGTAAAAAACTTCACGAACTAAAGAATTTCCACAAAATTCTTAATCACAGGATATTTCGTTTCGCTAATACAGTTTGATCTTTGGAAGAAGTCTATGGTAACTCAAAGTGGAGTGGTGTAGTTCATAGATAAAAACCCAAATAATCTCCACAACTTATATTAAAATGATCAAAGATCATTAAAGGTTTTAAGTAGGTCAAAGTTATGGACGTGAAAAAGTTGAAATTCAAATAAAGTAGACAATAACAGCAAACAAAGATAAATTTATAAAGGAAGCTCAGACTAGGACATAATAGCTTACTTTTCATATAAGATTTGTGTTTTCCATATAAATTATAAAATTTTTATAAAATATTATCAGAGGGTCGGGTTCACATTTTATAAAGGCCAATGCATTTTTTTCTTTTACTAAATGAAGAATTTCATTCTGTGCATCGGTCTGTATCAAAGTTCCCTATACCTAAGTCTGATAGTTATCAAGTTCTGGTGATGTTTTCTATTGAGGTACTGTTTTTGCATAGTTCTTCATAGAAATGAGTTGATTTTGTTCAATAAAAAATCAAAAATAAATAGCAACCATTCTACACCACAAATATTTTTGTACGTAATTTCATTTTCAAGTTCAGATTGAGACTTATCACTTTCAAATTGGAATTAAACACATCCAAATTGGTAAACAAATTCAAAATGGGAATCAAATTGGTAATAATAATTTTCAAAATCGTAAAAAACAGTTCTAAATCGAGAATTAACATAATTATTCAAGTTGATTAACACAATCAAAATAAGAATAAACTCATTCAATTTGAGACCGAACAACTTGAAATTGAGTAATGAATTGTCAATATTGTGTAAAAATATAAATTAAGTATTAGCAATAATTCATCATACTTAATATTTAAATTGATATGACATTCATAGAAAAAGATACAGAGAATAAGTGGAAATACAAATTTGACAAATGTGTTCTCATGGAATTTAGTGTTTCGTATCTTCAACAGATTCGCTACCGAATTAATCAATTCCATATTGTTTAGTTCCGATTTGAAATTGATTGAATTCAATTTGAATTTGTTCAGTTTGAATTTAGATTTGTTAAATCCGTGTCAAATCATTTTATCCCAATTTGAATTAAGTTGTTTCCATTTTGAAAGTGATTAGTCTCAATTTGATCACTCTATCCCAAGTTGAAGATGATTATTCCCATTTGGAAAATGATAAGTCTCAATTTGAAGTTGAAAAGGTATAGAATTGTAATTTGGAAAACCATATATGATCATCTCATAATAATACAGAATCAATTCATGAAGAAACTACAAAGCTATATCTCATTGATTGAAAATTATCGAATTGCTACTGTTTCTCCAGAACTACAAACGCGGTTTTCTCTATTGTCTGTTAATGTCTGTTGGTAAATCGAGGAAGTGGAACATTCATTTGTCCCGATCTTCTGGGATTTTTCTCCTCGTCTCTTTAATTAAATATATGAGTATTATTTCAATAAACCGTGCTTCCATTGGAAAACACTACATAGACAAAGTATTCGGCCGTGCTCGGAGCTAGCAGCTATGTAGGAGTGAGGGAAGCGGCATGGCTTGCTTTCTCCCTCCCATCAAATAACGATATCGCTGGAGTTATGTCAAATGTAGGGAGTAAACGTGAAAGCACGGTATGTTCAGTAAAAAGAAATCGGACAAAATGCCCTATGAATTTTAGTTATCTTTTTGTATTCGTACAGTTCGGCTTGCCAAAGAATTCCTGCGGGAAATATGTTGAGCCAGAGCCGAGTTCCGATTTTAATTCAATTCAATTATTCATGATAGTAGTTAACAATATAGAGTCGTCATATTGTTTGTCAATTTTTGATGTGACATTATGAAGTTTACACAACATTTTCAAATTACATTCTTCGTCCGAAAGGGTAATTTTGAAACAAATAAATTACTATCTTTTCATTAATTATCTCGTTGATCAATCGTTTATATCCAAGAAAACATATTGTGCATATTTATTTGCAGATGCCTATGGTTCACATTACTCTAGTCGTGTTTTAGCAATCTGACCCCCCTTACATCCCCACATTTCTCTGGCAAGCCTGACTTGATAATGTACTGTATAAGTAAACATTTTCATTGACCGTTCATATGTGTCACTATTTCCTCTAACAGCCCTCCTGAAAGAGTGTTAATTCCAGAAAAGCTGAACAAAAAAAGGGAGTTGGAAGAGAAAAGGCAGACCTTGTCGGCTGAATTGACCCAACTCCAAAACCGTCATTCGCAGCTTACAATATCTCTCAGAGAGCAGCAAAATCAACAAGATCAGCTTCAAACAACTCGACAAAGCACTGAAGATAAAATCGAGCAGATACTTGCATTCATCAGTAATATTCAGAAGACGATGACCACCACCAAGGTTTTTGATGATGTTGATAAAGATGAAAGTAAAGTCGGATAATCCAGATCGTGAATCATGGATTTTGTTATTTGTATAATTGAAGTTACGGAATAGTCCATGCTCAAAGTGGAGTATAATTATTAATCAGAAAGAAAAACTCTTTGTCATCTTCACAAGTTTTAATCACAAATCAGATTAACGAATGCCCCCGGGCTTTTTCCGAGTGCATTGAATTACAAAATTGTATGTTGGAAATTGATGGGAAATGCAGAAAACTTTTTCCATACCAGAAACATGATGCAAATAACATTCCTGCAAGGCAGTTTTAATGAAATAGGTGAATTGTCGGTAATACTACTATTTCCTAAAATTTATTTCTTTCATCAATTCATTTCATAAAAACTGCCTTGTAATAACATATAATATAATGCTACATCTTCTTCAAGGATGATTGACTAAGTAATACAAAAAATTAATATGCATTGAAAATTTCATCAGAATTCGATGGTCTTGATTCTCTATTTGATGTTGATTTTTCATTCCTTTTTTGTTTTTTAATATTTTTGCTACAGAGTAGAATGTGATTCTTCAATTCAGTAGAGTGTGCTAAGTAAACTTTCTTGCAAGATTCGCAATCGGTATGATTTTCTCTGTTCATTATTTTTCCTTGAAAATGTTCATTGAATCTATAAGAAGTGATCATGAATATATATTCATTATTCCAAATTTTTTGGGATTTTCTCTCCTCGTTTCTATAAAATAAAAATATGAATATTATTTCAATATACGTGTAGTAAGGAAAAATCAGATGATTTGCCCCAAAATGTCAATGCGTTTAAAGAATTTTCCTATCAGAGAGCCTAAAAGAAAAATTCACTAGCTTGTCAGTGACAATTTGTATTGAAAAATTTTTTGGAGAAGAGAAATAAAGGTATATAGAAAAAATATTAAATTTTCACTTATCTTTGGACGTTTCGGGACCGATTCTGCTCCCGTTTTCAACATGAAGAGATTTTTTCAATTGCGAAGTCGTATAATATGTCTTGAAGCTTTTCAGTTTTCAATGACAATTGGTGACGTTGGCAATCAAGACATATTATACGACTTCGCAATTGAAAAAATCTCTTCATGTTGAAAACGGGAGCAGAATCGGTCCCGAAACATCCAAAGATAAGTGAAAATTTGATATTTTTTCTATATACCTTTATTTCTCTTCTCCAAAAAATTTTTAATACAAATTGTCACTGACAAGCTAGTGAATTTTTCTTTTAGGCTCTCTGATAGGAAAATTCTTTAAACGCAGTGACATTTTGGGGCAAATCATCTGATTTGTCCTTACTACACGTATATTGAAATAATATTCATATTTTTATTTTATAGAAACGAGGAGAGAAAATCCCAAAAAATTTGGAATAATGAATGTACCACCTCCTCGATTAACCTACAGACAGTATGAATATATCTATTTCATTATGCTATTCATAACCTTTATCAAGTTTACTTAGCCACTAGCCAGTTATTATAGTCGGTAACAACAAGGTGAATGACAACCGCCATATGTTTTCTGTTGTTTTTGGTTATTTTTTCAGGCGGCAAATTCGAAATTTCTCGAAAGCGTTCTGAAAACGCCCGGAATACGCCCAAAGCGCCTTATCCATTTTTAAACCGTCCAAAACGAATTAGGCACTAAAGCGATTTGGGCGCTTTCCCGGCGTTTATCCGTTTGGGTGGATATCCGATTGCCCATCACTAAGTATATACATATATGTATGTCCCTTTTATTAGTCTCATTAGGGCAAGAAAACCTAAATCTGATATCTTGATACAATTAACAATTGCCCCGGCGTTGGTAAGGTGACCGAATTGCTCCATCGGTAATGTGGGGAGTAGGAAACCCCAGCATAAAAAAAAAGTCTCAAAATTTAGATATTTTTCATTTTGACTTCAAATATTATGCTTCTGACAGATAGAGTATTTCCTGATAGAAAAAAAAACAATGGGACTTCAAGAATATTTACTAAAATGAAAATATCAGGTCTCGACTTCCCGAGCAGACACAACACTGTCCAGTTGCTTTAGGACATTTGACCATTGGTAATTAAGTTTTTCCAGCCATTTACCAAATTTCTACCTTTAACATGTAACTCCCTTGTCACTACTTAGAACTCCATCCCTACAGATTTCAAATATTCGTTCTCTTCCATTGACATTTATCATTTTACGATTCTGCGAACCAAGATTGATTAGCTACCCACGATATAATGCAGTTTTCATACAGATTGGGCCATTGAAAACGAAACAGCGGCTCTGTATGTCGGCAAAACCGGATTATGAAAAAAATTTGAAACACGTCAACTACATTTTCGAGGGGGACATCGTATTGAAATATTTTCAGCCCTGCGGCGTTGCCGCTTCTAACGAAAAGAAGCAACAACTAGACCCCAAGTGTGATGCATTGATGAAATCAGCTCTTCGGGGAGAATCTAAAAATGCTATGAAAAACAAGGTGTTCCATTTGATCAGAAGTCTGAATCTTGAACCACCCTGTATTTGTTTCAAATAAATGTCAGTAGATAGTAAATCAAGAGTTGAGATAGGGACATGAAAGCCGTTTTGACCAATAATGAATAGTTTAATGACGCTTGACACTTGACTCCAATCGCCCAGCTGAGTCAGCCATTATCCACCGTGCCTTCACCCCAAACCAATCTAGAGAAGTCTAGACAGAATCTTATAGTATCTGCACTGAGTGTAATGGCACTGTTCGTGACTCACCCCTACGTCCGATCGGAGTAGAAATCAGTAATTTGGAGTAGCGGAGTAGAATACGATTAAAAGTAGTAGATCTACTCCAATCGGAGTACCTCTGGCAACGCTGAATTAAGCTATTAGGATTCATATGAATATCTTGTCAGCTCGCGAAATTGTAGCTTTACAATCTTGGCTGGGGTTTCTCACACCCCACATTACCAACGCGGGGTTAACATAGAACGATTGAAAAGTGAGGTTATGATTATGAAATTCTTAAAATAAAAATTATATTTCAAGTATCACATATCAAAATAGAGAAACATCAATCTATTAAATAGTTTGTGAACCCTTTATAGGGGTCAAAATGTTAGATCCTCGATCAGAACAACGTCGCAAGAAAAAGCACAACTTTATGACGCCATTTTACCTAGGAGAAGGAAAGATAATCCTAATTTTCCTGAAGGATAATTTAACTGCATTTGTTTAAGGATGGCTCAACAACTTGAACACTTCTGAGCGGTTTGTTTTGATGATATGACCAATAAGCACAAAACTAATGTGAACTAATAAAAACAAAGTAAACAGGCCGCTTCGACAGCCTTCAAGAACTCCGATAGGTGGCGTACTCTTATTTTCTATCACAGCAAAGACATGGACCACTCTTCAACCACAAGGTTTTTGATTGATGACCGCATTGACCGAACTTCAAATGGTAACGTTTTTTATTTTAGACCAATGCCGACCGATCCAAGACCACTTCGCCCAGGGTTTTTTATTACCGATGCGGTTCAAAGATATATAAATTATAACCTCAAAACAATCAAATTCCTCAAAAAAGTGGCAAGGGCATCTACAGTCTTCAAAATTGAGTGACTCGAGCTGCTTATATTTGAACAAAAATAGCATTACATCACTGGATTATTCACTTGAGTGTGTTATTTTCTGGTATACAGTTCAAAATTATTTCATCTACAAAATATGTCTCGAGGAATTCGATATAACTCCTAAAATAGGTAGATGATTCTCAATATATCTGGTTTTAAATATCAAAAAGATAACGCGGTGACGTCAGCTGAAGTTTAGGCATATGTGTGATGGTTGGTGGAATAGGGTTGTACACACTACACACTTGTTGAATTTACTCCATATATCTATTTTATTTTGATAATTCCATGTAATAACAGTACTTGGTACCGTCATTCATTATTCAAAATGATCAAAAATATATGTTTTTCAAAAAATCAAAATAATCACATCTCAACAACGCTAATAACTCACGATGACGTGACATACCGATAAGCACTATAAGTAAGAATGAGCCAACGTGCTGACGTCAAAGAATGGATTATAAATTCTGGGGATTGAACCATTCTTTGGAGATACAGTGAAATGTCCTTGAAAATTCCTTACCAGTGAAATAATACAGATTTTCGGTTTTGGAATGTTGAGATTATATTTCTTTCCACTTGCCAACAAAATGGCGTTCTGCAGTTGTGCTATTTCTTGCAAGGTGGGCCTGGGGACCTGTATTTCAATGTGTTTTTTCATCTCCTAATTTGAGTAGTATTATTTATTCATTTCATAACAGTGCAATCATGATTTATTGAATGTATTGTATATAGTTATCAGGTTTTTACCTGTGTAGGTTTTTCATGCCCTGATGAAACTGATCAAAATTACTTTCTCAATAACATGATGTTATATTGAAACTTGTGGAGGTGACTAAGAGCTTTTCTTCCTGATTATTTGTATTATTTCCAAATGTTTATCACTATTGATTATTGTATAGACTGATTGTATTTTCATATGAAGAATTTCTATTGAATAAATAATGCTGTTTAAAAGTTGGTGTTTTCTTTAAACAGCAAAAAATCGTGTAATTTTCATTATACAGGGTGTTCATAGGGTGAACTAGAGGTCGACTGAGACTGGTTGGAATCAACCTTGAATGTAAAAACTTCACAAACGATAAGATTGGAAGGGTTGATAGCAAGTACATATTATCATCAAAACTATGGTTTTCTTCTAATATATGGTTGGCGTGTGTTGAATTTGTTTCCTTTTTCAAAAAATTCTTGTTCTTGAATGCGCTAATGAAACATACGATCGGTCTGACCGATATATACCTTAGGACAAGATCCACAGTCAAGTTTGTATACCCCTGATTATTCCAATTTAGAAGTTTTGTCTTTTTTATTTTTGATTAACCTTCTCAAAGTGTTATTTGTTCTATATGCTATTTTTTAAGTCCTGTTTATGTAGAAATGAAGCTAATTTTTGAGTTGATGATCCCAAATGGGTTAAAGTCCTATAATTTTGATAATTATTCTTGATCGTAGGATAAACTTCTTGAATAACTTTATAATGAAGTTTTTTTAGAAAGAATACTGTCTATCAAATTAACGTTATATCTGTTGTTGACTCCAATCTGTTTTATGATAATGCCCTTATCGTCACTGCTGTCTTGATATAAACATCCATCAAGGGTGGAATATTGAGTATGGTTTCTATAGCAACCATAACAGTACTATAGGCAATGCACCTGTAGTAATACAAGAATATGCTAGTCTCTGGAGTTTGGAAGCTCTTGAAAAGCAGCCACATATCATATTGGTATATGCATATTTGCGATAGGAAATAACACGTCGCCTCACCTGACGGCATCAGCAACTTGGAAGACTTCTTAGGGGTTTGTTTGATGATATGACCAATGATCACAAACAAAACGAATGTTAACCAATGAAAACAAAGTAAACATGCCGCTTTGACAGCTTTCAAGAACTCCGATAGGTGGCGTACGCTTATTTTCTATCGCTAATAGTCTCACTTGAGGTCGCACCAGAGTCTAAAATGCAGTCACTGTATATTGTAGGTAGTTATTTTAAGGCAGCATCATTATAACTTCTATCGCCTCTAGTATACTTTGTGAACTTGTGCTGATTCATCTAGTAATTCCTGAAGTGGTTTCCTCATTATATGACTAACCTGCATTCTAGTTTGAATGCCCTTTTCTTCACTTCTTGTCCTTGTGCAAACATACATCAAGGGCAGAATATTGAGTATAGTTTCTACAGCAACCATCACAGTACTAGGCAAGGCACCTGTAGTTATACAAAAATATGCTGCAATAGTCTCTGGAGTTTGGAAGCTCCAGAGACTAGCAGCCACATACCAGACCAGTTATCCATATACACTATATCATTGGGCTATGCCTATAGTCTCACCAGAGTCTATTGTAGTTGTTTTAGTCATTATCACTTCCATACCCTAGAGTATAGTGGACTTAAACTGGTTCAGCTAGTATAATTCCCAAAGTGGTTTCCTCAGTATATGATTTTAAGCTGCACTCCAGTTTGAATGCCATTTTCTTCACTTCTGCCCTGATGTTGATATCCAACAAGGGCAGAATATTGAGTATGGTTTCTATAGCAACAATCAGAGTAGTACTAGGCAATGCACCTATAGTGATACAAAGATATGCCAGTCTCTAGAGTTTGATGGAAAGCAGCCACTAGACCAGTGATCCATATAATACCATTGGTCTATATGGCAGGGGTGCTCAGACTTTTAGGGACTGTGATCTACCAGAAAATATTTAGGTGACAAAACATCGTCAAGTACGACTAACGGCGATTACGAGAAGCCTGCTCATAAAAAATCATACATTATATAACTTAGATCAGTTTGAATCGCGGAACGTTTGGATATTCGCAAAAGGGTCATTTTTCCCTGTCATTTGCTTTTTGTTTCAACTTGTTATCACATGACAGAAGTATGTCCGGAATAATAGGAGCAAATAAATCGCTTTGCCATGGATTTGACTCAGACTGAGCGGTAGTACAGGTAGGTTTTTGAATCAATTGGAATCGGAATCGGCATAATTCTTATCTCGTTATCAAATCGCGAAATCGAGTGCAAATTTCCGCACAGGAAAGTGCAATGTTTTGATCATTTTGCTCAGGATACTGATTGGCACAGGTGCCGTTTGATGAACTAGAATGTTTTTACCTGCAGCCGGCTCTCCTACTAACACTAACACATTAATGAAAATGACTTATGAATATTTATGGAACTATGGAACATAAATACAGGGCATGTTCCGATATTCCCAAACAGTAAGGATAATATACTGTGGTACTGCCCAGTATATTTTATCTGATTTTATCCTTCCGATTTTACTGAAATTCACTGGCAACATTTCACAAGTCATTGCAAGGAACCCTGTTAGAGGCTAAAAGTTTACTGTTGGCCACTGTTGCTGAAATGGTGATGTAGTGCCAGTATCAGTTAGGTTGAGCTTTTGAATGGTTAGGTATGAGTTGATAAAAATTATATAGATGCTTAAAGATGAACTAGGTAGGTACCACTCATCTACAAGATGTTTCATTATTCCCAGTCTTGATATCAAATATTATAATAAACCGGCGGCCCGGTGGTCGAGAGCGCGAAGGCGCTGAGTTCGTATGGGCACTCCCACCCAGGCATGGGTTCGAATCCCAGTTAGGCCATGGATGTTTGTAAATGTATGCTTTCCTAACCTGCACAAGTTTCGACTTATGGGGCGTTGGATCCAGTGCTGGGTACAAGGAGGAAATGCAATAGAGCAGTTCAGCTACCGTTGAGAGAGAAAAAAAAATGTCTTCCCCATCTGTCCTTGTCTGCAGTGTTCCAACATAAAATAATGAAAATATTATGTTGGCATCATTGGAAATGGGAAAAAATGGAGAAGAATATCATATTAACCTCGATATAAAAGAAGGTTAGAACGGTCTTCTTCTCCATTTCTTCTCATTTCCAGTGTTGGCAACATAAGATTTTCATTATTTCATGTTGGAACACTATAGACGAGGACAGATGGGAAGACATTTTTTTTCTCTCTCAACGGTAGCTGAACTGCTCTATTGAAAATAAAAAAATAGAAAATAAAATGCTCCATTTCTTGATCACAGGAACTAAAGGTACTAGAGTGTGATGTTTCTGATGAATCAGAATCACTACTGGATAAATATATGTCTTCTAAGATATTATGATTAATCACTCCATCCATAATTTCAATGTGAGTAAAGAAGATGATAATAAGAATGATGTAAATAAAAACCAACAAAACAAAATATTGAAAATCAAAAGATCATAGGTTATGTTTTGCTGCCAGTGTACCAGTACTGCCAAAATTATTCCAAGATGAAATGAAAATTCAAAGCTACTGCTACTGTTTAGTGTTCCTAAATTGCTTACTGCAGCCAGTAATTTCAGCAATATCAAAACATGACCACAGTAAATTATACTTGTGTAAAGTTTCAAACATCTGATATAGTTGCAATGTTATTTGTGGTGAAGATTATATATTTTTTGTGCACAATCAATCCACAACAAGGAGACTCAGTCTTGTGCTACTGATCACTCTCTGTGACATTATACCTCTGTTGATGATTTTTTGCAGGTGCTTGATGGACACCACTAGTCATGTGAAAACTATGATGTGTCTGTTTAGTGTTCACTTAGCAGCAAACAAACTATTTACTGAGAATTGAAGGGTAAATCTTCAATGATAATCATTGTAAGCAATAATTATTTGTTTACTTATATTCTATCTATTGACTACAATGCACACATTTTCCAATGAGACCTCTGTATTAACATAGTAATGTAGTCTACAATGAAATCCCAGTTTCTTAAACAATAATAATCTGCCCCAATCAATAACCCTTTTGCTTCTCCTGCCTATTTCTGCTTTATCTTTTCTACTCAATCCCATCTCCATATCCCTTTCATTCTGTTTAGGTAAAGGAGGGTCAGTTTCTTTTCTCTTTTCCCTGCTGAGTCCATCCCCACAAGTGGCCCAACTGCTCATTCCACACAAAATATCAAAATCATTTTTGTCAAAACCCTGCTCTTCCAACAAATCCTTTCCAGCATATGATGACCATTTACACCTATGGTGGCAACATTGTGTTAGGAGACATCCTTGGATTTTATGCCTATTAGTTTTAATATTTTCAAAGCACCTCAACATTATATCAGTTGCTTCTCCACAAAGATGTTTAGTTACTCCAACAATATTTTCACAATCAGAAATAGCACTTAAATTATCTAAAACTATGTCACATATATCAGCTCTGATTCTAAGTATTCTGTCTGTAGTGTTAGATAACTTATTATCCTTTTTATGCTTTGGAGAGGCTCTTTCAATAAGTAATACCTTGGATTTCTCATCAGTTTCAGTTACTCTGGCTATCCAGTAACTAAGTTGACCTCTTCCTGCACCAAACTCAATGTAGCAGGTATTGGGTTTCATCATTTCATATTTTTCCATCAAACCTACTATGGAAGACACTTGTCTCAAATGTTTCTTTGAATTTTCTCCACAATCTGGTGCTGATATTTCACTTTCAACTAGATCATGTGTCAAAACCATTTCACTAATATTATCTTTGATAAAGTTTTCATAAAAGCTATTGATTTTTGATATTGTTTTTTGGATTTGAGGGACAAGGAATGTTGAAAGGGGCGAAGTTGGTTCTTCTAGTTCATTTTGATCTTTAGCCAAATTAAAGCCTTTAGAAATATACACTTCGACTGTTGTTATTCTTGCATTACAAATTTTCAAATGTTTTTCCAATTTATGAGCATAACAGGTGTGTTTTTTATCCAATGGACAAATGATTCTTTGTAGTTTGCCACTTTTATCTGACGAAATTGTATCAATATCTTGATGTTCACCACAGTATTCTTCACCCTTCTTCACTGTCATTTTGCAAAATCTTTTCTTCCTTCTCAAGTAATATTTGCAGTGCATTTCAAGAGGATTTTCTTTTATATCACTCATTGCAGTATTCATTTCTAGGTGTTCCTGAGCAACTTTTAATTTACTTAATACATTTATTTATTTTTTAAAATTTTAAATTTTTGATGAGTTGGACTATGAACTCAATTTTAGGGTTAACATTAACATCAACTTCTCTTCTTCTTCTTCACTTTCATTTCCTCTCTGCTCTGGCCTGATTCTCAGAAAATTCAGTGTTGCCACAAGGTATTTTTTCATCGTGGTAGACCTCTAGAAGGGAGCGGGGTAGATGCCTCAAAAGCAATCAAAAGTTGCTGATATTGACGTGTCGTACTTTCCACACATATATATATTACAGGATGATTTACGTAGGTGCAACGGGCCACAACTTGTAGCTGAAAAAAAAAACTGTTGAAAATTGGTATGCGATCATAATAGATCATTTTCAATCTATCACACAGTATCTAGCTGAGATGTCCTTATTTTTTGAATATAATTAGGTACCGCCGTATAAGTAGTTTACGAAAATCCTCTTGTATCTCGCAAAACGCTCACATGGGCGCAGGCGATTCACAAATGTCGCATGAAAAAATTGACGAGTACCCAATATTTTTAAAAGGCATCTACTATTTTCTTGGCACCATATAACAGAAAATCGAAATTGAAGGTGAGTTACTTAGCATTTCCTATACTTTACTCAAACCTCCATGCATCGAAGTCATTTGATGCAAAAAGTGAAGTGTATTAGAGTGACCAACCGCCGACGTAGGGAAAGAATATTGATGAAAGAATAATACGAAACAGGCTAATTGAGGTTATGACACGAGTGACATCTATGTCAATGTCAAAATTTCTATTTTGTGATTATTTCAAAAATTTAGAATAAACAAATATGGCTACTGGACCAGGGCTCGCAAGAACTCCTCTAGAACTTCTTGAGAATGATGGTACAAGGGAACAACCGCTACTTTCTAAGTTCTTCGCCCCAGTATGTTGGGGTACCATCGGATTTATCAGTGTAGTTGTAGCAAACTATGCTACCAAACGTCCCATTTTCAGCGGTAAATGTGAGTTATTTTCATGGTTACATAACCACATAAAATATTTCAGGAATCCAGAAACATATAGGACTCTCGGCTGCCTTGGCAGGAATTGGAACATATGTAGATGGTTATAGAAATCAATATCTAGCTGACCGTGATGCAATTTATCGTCACTATATTCAACTACATCCAGAAGATTTTCCACCTTTTGGTAAGTAAAATTAGCAAAGAATTATAGCTACAAAACTGACTACCTTTCTCAGTAGATTTCAAGCCTTGAGTTGTTAGTTTGAATTGATGTAATTTGCAATCTGAATATAATATAGAGCAAATTGATATTAGTCAAGATAAATGATGGATTTATTGTTTGTTTATTATGGAGATATAAAATGCAAGGAACCTCCTATCCTCATTGTGATGGACACACATTTTAAATTCTAATTGAATTATGTCCTAAACTTGAAAAAGGTGAACACAATAATGCCATTATAATTCATTAAATAATTCAAAATTATTTAGTCCTGTGCATCTTCAACCATTCTCAATTCCAAAATTGAAAAATGAATGTCTTCAAGTAGCAGTTGAAATAATATTTTATGGGATTCACAAATAGTGGAAGAAGAAGATGGTGTGCTCAACAAAAAGTTTAAACTCCTCTTGTTCTGCACATGACCTCAACTGGAATATAATTGTCATTGATATTATTTGTTTTTCTGATCCATGTCTCAATTCAAATACCTATGTGAAATCAAGAATTGAATGAAGTGGTTTCAAAATGCCCACTTGTGTCATTTCTGGTTATGAAAATTCCAACAAATATAGGAATGGCACAGATATTGAATATTTCTGTTATTCCAAGGAAGAAGACCTAATGAAAAGATGAGTGGAAGCTTGCTAGCTTAAATACTGGTATCTACTTTATATCACTTATATCCTCATTCCAAAGTATTTAGCTATCATATGATATTCCAGCATGTATCTGCAACATTTCCATGCAAAACCATGAAAGTACAGTTGTTGAATTACACACCTCCAAAAAACCATATACAAATTTTTGAAACAAGGAGCCATTCCTACAGAACATCATCCATTAAATACCTATTATGTTAGAAATAAATGAAAATTGATTCAAAAGACTTAATTTCTTGTAAAATATGTATTGCAAAAAAATTATATTCCTGTTGTCAATGTCAAAGCAGTAGCAACATCAACCTCTGAATTTGAATCTGTCAGAATTGACACAATGATGGATCATTTGATGGGATTGGCAATGCATAATAATTAGTATGAATTTGCTATTACTATGTGAATTACTGACAGATAGCAAATCATAGTATCAATGAAATAGTAAAATCAAAGGAATACCTATTTATATAAATTGAATTATTTCTAGACAGATCCAGAAACTCATAGATATTTCAATAAACTTGATTCAATTCATACCACAATCCTATGGCAACTGTATCTGTCTTTGACTATCAGCTGTTATTGGTATCCCAGATGATGTCACATAATATGCACATAGGCACACCATCTTCTCCTTCCACTATGGATCACATAATCACATACCTACTAGGTACCAGGTGGTACATGTGAAATGATTCAGCCTGAATAATCATTACCATTGAACAAAAAATACCCAATCAAAACAATTGCAGTAATGCCTACATTTAGGTCAACTTTTGTTTGTTAGAAGTTTCATTAAAAATCTAAATTGAGGTGATGAGTATTTTTCCAGGTATTTTTGCATTGGGTTGTAATCTAACAAAATGTGACAAAGTACTATGATACCCATAATTTGTTCAATATCCATTCATGCCCCTTCTGGTTTATGTAATTCACCTGAATCCTAATTTCTTAATATAATCCAGTTGAATTTATAAACTCACTAAGAATGAGGAACACTCATTTCTCCATTACAATAGGCTACTAGTAGAGTAGCAATCATCATCCTGAATTGACCATGGTTTAAAGGATTAGATGTTTCATATTGTGAGGTTAGCAGCAATGGTGTCATAGTTGAAAAAAATCGGCGCCATTATCAAAATGATTGTATTTCAATAAGATCGAAAACAGTTTGATTGTTAAATATTGAAAATAAAGAGCAAGGACAGCTTGTAGACCCTTTGTTTTTCAAAACTAATTACAACTGCCATTGATGAAAGACAATGCATTTGACAAATGACACTCAACTTGAAAGCTGCCAACTAGCACAACATGTCTAACCCTGTGGATATTGTTTTCCATTTGATCACACGATTCCAGAATGGATATTTGTGGGAACTGAATAAAAAAATCAGTGCCATGTGATTCCAGGTACAATACACAATATTCTGCATAAATCATGGTTTTTCATCCTCCTTCTCCTCATTTGAAACTAATGACTTTGTAGATACAATAGTATTACAATGAAACTGTCAACTTCTGAAATATGCTATTAATAATAATCTGACCATCAATCTAATCTTTCAAACATTTAAACATTCTATGTAATGAGATCTACCATTCAATTGTTATCGGATGGCATAATTCTTATCTCGTTATCAAATCACGAAATTGAGTGCAAATATCCGCACAGGAAAGTGCAATTTTTCAATCATTTTGCTCAGGATAGTGATTGGCACAGGTGCCGTTCGATGAACTACTATGTTTTGAATTTCGTTTAGGACATACCGGGTGGCTACGGAAGTATTGCCTACGGAATATCTCAGTTATTGTATGAAGTAGGTTTGTGAAATTAGGAGCGTCGATATAATGACATAAGAGCTAGAATTTGAGCATATTGACATGTCGACGTTAACTTCCGGTCTGAAAGGAAGTAACATCAACTTTCTTATTTTAAATGGAAACCCTATTTTTTTTCTTTTCGCTTTATTCAGCATTCAATTCCCTTTCTGATGACATATCACAAGTTGGTATCTAACCAGAAACTAGATCAGAAAAAAAATATTATTGAAATTCACCGAGTAGGCCGTGGAAGCAAAATGAAAGCCAAAAATTGAAAAGTTGGCTATGGAAACCATACCAATGGTTATGCTGAATAGTACAGGCAAGAAAAAGTTGTATGTTCCTATTAAAGTAATGGACCCACAGAGTATTGTTTTTTTCCCAATTTTTCCAAAATTTTTTATGGCGGCTTTTTATAACGCCGACGAATGAAAATGGAAAATCACAGTAGTAGCAACTGTTATCAAGTGACGTATGGTTTCCATAGCCAACTTTTTAATTTTTGGCTTTCATTTTGCTTCCACGGCCTACTCGGTGAATTTCAATAATAATTTTTTTCTGATCTAGTTTCTGGTTAGATACCAACTTGTGATATGTCATTAGGAAGGGAATTGAATGCTGAATAAAGCGAAAAGAAAAAAAAATAGGGTTTCCGTTTAAAATAAGAAAGTTGATGTTACTTCCGGTCAGACCGGAAGTTAACGTCGACATGTCAATATGCTCAAATTCTAGCTCTTATGTCATTATATCGATGCTCCAAATTTCAAAAACCTACTTCATACAATAACTGAGATATTTCGTAGGTAATACTTCCGTAGCCACCCGGTATATCATTTTGTTATCAGATGACAATAGAAATCTGCAGCCGGCTCTCCTACTATAATAGTATTACAATAAATATAAAGTTAACTTCTGAAATATGTTAATAATAATCTGACAATCAAATTTTTCAAACATTAAAACATTCTATACAGGGTGTCCCTGAAAGGTCTGTACAAAATCTCACCACATATTCCTGAGGTCAAAATAAGCCGATTCAAAGTATCTTACCTCAGTCCGAAATTGCTCCATTTCCGAGATTAAGGGTGGTAAAGGTAAAAAATGAAAATCGAATTTTCCAAACTGTATCAACATTTTCATAAGTATCACTTCAAAAAATAGTAGCCAAAGGCTTTTTGGGATGCGATACCCGAATAGACCCTTTCACTGTGGCCATTAGAGGGCGCTTACAAATGCACTTCTTATGGTTTGGAATAGCCATAAATTTTTTCTCAGCGTGGCTTTTCTCTTTTTTTGTTAAGCCCTGGTTTCTCTGACCAGATCGGCCCGAAATATTTCGGTGATATAGCACAGGAAGTTCGTTAGCGTTTCCGGTGAAACCAAGCGTATTTGTAGTACGTAGTGGTGGTTTGTATATAAGATCGGACCGAAATTTCGGGAAAGTGAACGGATAGCAGTTCGTCGGAATCAACCAGTGTTTGATTTGAACGATTTCAAAACGGCACAGTTCGCCGAAATAGTGTAGTGTGTGTAGGAAAAATTCTTCGAATTTTGCATCATTTTTCGAAAGATGCTTCAACACTAACAACTCATAAGCAACTCCTTTGGCCCTTTTCTCAAACATGTTCAAAACTTTATTATTCTTAGTACATACTCCTAATAACGCATACTCATCATCGTCATCATGTTCTTCTTCTAAAATCATAGCAATAAAAAAATCCATTTTTTATTTTGACTTTGCCGCAAACACCCTACGAGAAGACTGAAATATATCGGAACGAAAATTTTCTTCAGACAAACCACACATAGACGAAACTTCTGAACGAACTGTATCCGGCGAATATCCACGTTCTGTGCGCTGATATTCGCCGAAATATTTCGGGTCGATCTGGTCAGAGAAACCAGGCCTTTAAGGAATGTTTTTCTGAATATTTTCAAGCAAAAAAGGGCTCCTGTGAAAATTCACTAAATTGAGCCGTTTTCAAGATATTCCGGTTTTTAGTGTTCGATGCCGCTCTGGAATGCTAAAATTATTTTGAATAAAAATATTTGCCGTTATCTCCGTGGATGTAATTTGGTCAGTGAATGAGCAGTACAAAAATGGATTTTTCAAAATAATTTTTTGAAGTGTGCTTGCCGATTTTTATTTTTTAAATTTACCACCCTGTTTGTCGAAAACGGGGCAATTTCGGACTTAGGTAAGTTGCATTAAATCGGCTAATTTTGAACTGTGTTGAGATTTTGAACAGACCTTTCAGGGACAGATTATATACAAGGTGTAAAATAACACCACAACTTGAAAACTCCTGCATAATCCCATTAATAGATTCTTATCTACATACCTTCACATTATGGATCATGATATTATATACTATTTAATCTTTTTTTTTTCTTTTTAGAACGGAAGAAGTTCAAAGATCTCTTTGAAAATTGGGTCCCAATTCGTTAATTTGTGAGTTTAATGTTTATATAGTGAGAGTGAGTATTGTACCATATTAAGAAATAAATTTTTGAATAGTTACCTTTTTTATTAATCTATTAGGAACAGGCAGTTAGAAAAATTGTGGAAAGTGGAAATTCAAAATTATATTGTATTGAATGTAAAAAATGAGGTAAAAGATCTGGTTTGAATTATTGTCAGCCCTTATTGCATACTGCATGGGTTTTGATGGTTATTCAAAAAATGAAAATAGATTAATATATGCACTTATTTATTGATAGTGGGTGAAAATACATCATGTAAGTTATCTTCCTAGTTGTATACATTTATTAAATGGTTATAATTAATCTAAAGTGTTGTACATCATCATTTGTATTGAGAAAATCCTACTGAATATAACAATACTTATACAATCATTTCCAAACGTCAAAGTTAAACTTCTCATAATAATTCAACATTAACAAATAAAATGGAAGATTATCATAAATTTGTTTTTGATTAGAAAAATACATGTTTCAATAATACCTAAATACCTCTACTCTACAAAGTACATATTAATCAATAAATACAATAGTCACCCTTATTTCATCACAGACTACAATAACTTTGAATTTTTCAGTTGAATGTATTGAAACCCATTTGATACATATTGTTGGTGGAAAATACGTTATTTTAATAACATATATTGAAACTCATGAGATGTTAACATTCAAATCAACAAACTGTTGAACAACATAAACATTTCCCAACAGGAACAAAAAGTAGGTTATTTTGATAAAATACAAATTATCAACGGTCGCACACAATGGTGGCTTGAATTGGAATTACATTTTCGTGAAGTTACCGAAGAAACAACAATTTTCGACCAAACATTCAACTTCACAGTCTGTAATAGTTTTTCAGACAGATTCCATGTTTGTTTATTATTCGAAATTAATAGATTCTTCTCGTTCACAAAATTAAAGTAATTATATTATCCCTTCCGATTCATTCTCGAAATACCGACTTTTCGATTTTCATTTCTACTTAATAATTAGATAGATCTAAGATTCCAAATACAAAAATAAAATGACCTTTCCAGCCTCTTCTCTAACACATAATTCTATACCTATTATTATATGCTTAGATTTTATGAATAAAGATATGAACCATCTTGTCATTGAATAAATCACAAGTTGTGAACCGGGAATTTAAAGTATTCATGAATGGATAGTCAGGTTGATACCATTTTTCTACTCGCCTATTACAATACACGAAATTACCGATTTATTAATATTGTTTACCTACGGCCACTATAGAAAGTAGGCAAGAACACACGAGATACAGCCTCAGTAAGTAGCTCTTAACGCACAGTAAGCACATCGCACAGTTTTCGTTTATTCCGCCAGTATAGGTATGTCATGATCGCGTAATCGCCGTCAACAGCGGATGACATAACTGTCAAGAATTATATTTCAGACTGTTTGTCCAAACTTTTTTGATGTTCTATATGGCAGTAGGTAAAGTATAGTACGTAATGCGTGTTGTAAAGCAATTACGCACTCGCCGCTCCGCGCGTAACTTTTCCATTCGTACGTAATATGCTTCTTACAACACATATTATGTAATATACCATTATTTCAACATGGATTTTCGTTATGAAACAGATTTGAAACCAGTTTTCGGTCAATAGCAACACTCATAGGTACTCTCATAAATATTTTGAAATGAATTTTTGATTTTATTTCATCATTCATTGGTCGTAGAAAAAAGTGTATGCAACGATAGTCGCTTAAAATAATATAAGATCATTTGTTTTGTGGTATGGCAGAGACAGAAATAATAGTACAGTTGTTTTATTAGAATCAAATGTGACACTCTTTTTGACAAGCGATATTTGCGTTTGCGAGTCAAACAGAATCACTTTTGATCCGAATGAAACATTCTATTTTTCCTGCAATCGAAATAATTGATATCTAATTAATAAAATGTAAGTATGTAAAGTTACCACTATTTTGCCAGTGTCAAAAGCAGCTATCATATCAGCTGTCGTTCGACACGTTTTAAGTTCGTAGGAGTTAAACTTGAACTTTAGCTCATAGACATTAAAAGTACCAACATACCAACTAATCATTTTATTGTGTCATTAAGCAATTTCAAGAGCTAATTTTCGAATAAAAATAGACGACTTTTGAGCCGATTGCAAAAGATTTATATCTGTCCTATGTGCAGTGACGCAAGTTTCTAGTGGGAGGGAGGCACAAAAACGTCCCAACGAGAGAGACTGTTGTAGCGTTAAAGACAAGTTATCAGTGTGCTTCCGGGAGCGTTTAAGCGTTGTCAGATGGAGCCATTTGTGGTGAAATAACAGGACGAGATAGTTATTTAAACAGGTAATAAATAATATCATTATTACCCAAGGATCAAGATTATATCCCGAGGCTTCAGCCGAGGGGTATAAGATCCCATTGTAATAATATTCTTTTTCCACCACTAGATGTAAAATTATTTACTCCTTTGCGAGGTGTATATAAAGTTTGTTTTTACTACCAAAGTAGTTTACGTCATTGTATGAACCACTAGTCAATAAAGACATTGTTACCTCTGTTGTAATTAACCTGAATATACTGCTCTGATGCGAGATTCGCAGAAATGACACTCGAATCTAGTAGGCATTTATCAATAATGACTTCTCATAATATGTTGTCATGGTCATTGCCACTAGATTTCAATTAGAATCGAAAAGGAGTGCTTTCATAGTGACAGTAGGTCCATATTTCAGTTTCACAGAACTGAAATAATTGGAATGTATTGATAGTGGTGAAAAAATGTAATATTCCCCTTGGTAGTACAGAATGTTATTACCACTGGACATTATACCCATCGGCTGAAGCCTCTCGATATAATCTTGGTCCCTGGGTGATATTGCTATTCTTTACTACCTTGGTGTATAAATAAGTATTACTATCAAGATGTATATTAAATTAGATGAAATCACTCTTTTATGATTTTAATTAAAATCCAGCAGCTATGACCATGACAGCAAATGCCAAGTCGTTATTCTGGTTGATTATATCAGAGGTGGCTGTCTTTATTGACCAGTGGTTCAAAAATGACGAAAACTACCCTGGTAGTAGTAACGAAAATGGAATATTGATCGCTCGAGGGAGAGGGGGGGATGGCCCCTAGTGCCCCCTCTTGGCAAATCGCAACTCTACCTATGTGGCTGGAATATCGACGACTAGAAAGATCCGTTAACGTAATCATTCCACTTTTCACTAAATGTGAATTTACTGTAGCAATTAACTCATAACCTGTTGTAACCCTCATCAAGAAAGAAATTCGGACTAATCGAACAGAAAATTATTTGAAAAAATGTTGTGAGGCGATTCATCCGCATCATAACTTCATTGCCCAGTATTGTCCATATTCCAGTCTAATATTCAATGTCAAGATGATTGAATCAGTATTCAAATGAGTACCTATAGTTTGCCCTACTTTATTTACTTACATTGTGTGCAAGAAAAAAAAAGAATTTCGATTTATTGACCCATTTATATCATTTTTATTTCTACCTCTACCTGATGATTTGTTTTGAAAATGTTCGGCTACTATTCACTAATATAGTTAGGTTAAACTAGAAACCATTAAAAAACTGTACCTCTACCTGATTATTTGTTTTGAAAATGTTCAGCTACTATTCACTAATATAGTTAGGTAAATCTAGAAACAATGAAAAAACTGTATGAAATTATTGCCATTTAGTGATTGAATTCCACTCAAAATTCGAGTTTCTTCGCATGTGATAACTCAATCATCTTGAGAAGAAGAAACCTATATGAAGTCACGCTATATGACATGATACGTTTGTTCTCGTTCGAAAAATAAACAGTTCGAAAACCTCACGAGCATGCTCAGTTTCACAGAACTATTGGTTATTTTTCATGTTCCGTGGAACTGCGCAAGCTTCCGATGGTTTCACACTGTTCATTTTTCGAAGGAGAACAAACCTGATATCTATCAGAAAGGCGTAATATTGACTACAAATTCAACCAATCAAAAAGAAGGTCAAAGACGCACGAGATGCTCGCTTTTGTCAATGTCCACTCATAGTACGAGATGCACTGAGTTTGAAGCGAGATCTATGATTAGAGACTTCGATACTCGAGAAGTCCGATTATAGAATCGAGTGTCAATAATAATAACACGGGCGTCTCCTGGCAAGATGTAGAAGCACCAGAGATGGGCGACGCAATTCTCATTGATAACGATAAGCCGTTGGGGGAGGAGATAAAAGAATGTCTCGGAGAGGACCCATCCTCGTAAGAAACCCAGTGAAATTTCCATCCATTTTGCTCTAGCTTCTATATAGATTGTTTCATATAGTTGAAAAGGGTATTGATAAGGAGAATCGTGACGGTTGGACGGACACGTACCCTCCTCCTTCTAATTGCCCTTGTCTGAAAGGACCTGCCCTCCACCCAGAGATTATGCCATTATTGATTCCTTCCTTGTTGAAAAGAGGCAAGTCTCAGAGTAGTTGTCAGGACCAGCTGGGAGCAGGCACCGACTGAGATTTTGAGGAGGAATGATACAGATGAAAAGAAAGTAATTGAGACTTTAGGTGATGCTGGTCTGATCTACTTTTGAACTTATTCATGGTAAGACAAATGGCTATTTTCCCAAACCTCAGCAAAGCTTCAAAAGCAGTAGGGGAAAATAACCCCATTGAGAACATCTTATTTGGCAACACTTTTGGGGAGAATTGCAAAGCAGTCAAATCACTAGAGCGTAGCAGCAAGAATCTAACCTCTACGGAGGCCAAGATACCTATGGTACCCGCAACGAATACAAGAACCAAGGTTCTGGAAAGGCCCGTCGAAGACTGTGGAACCGAGACGAACAGGGTCACCCCACAGAAGAGAGAATACAGGAAGGTCAATCGTCGTCGCTAGTCCAACAGGTGAGTGGATGTATTCAAGAGAATAGGTTGAGCAGATACCTTGGCAAGTGGACTTCCCAAAGAATAG